ATTATATTAATTTTTTATTTTTTTAATTTGTGACAGTTATTTACGTTATGGTCTTGGTTGCCTATGCGGATCACTATGTATCAACCAATTCTATTGTATACAACAGAAGAGCACGGTTGTTCGTTAACAACATTTTATGTAAGAGTAGAACAACATGAACCAACCTTATTGATGATAAAAACATGCAATAATGAAGTAAATTTTTTTCAAATAATATATTTTTTAGTTTTCATTTGAAATAATATTTAATATTAATTTTTTCACTGTTTGTTTATTTAAGGTATTTGGTGCGTATTGCTCCACGAGATGGTGTGAACGTAATATGAAAAATGATAAAGGACAAAGACAAGCTTATTTTGGAACGGGTGAAACGTTCTTATTTAGTTTATATCCTGAACGAGCAAAATATCCTTGGGTGGGTATGGATTCTTCGCACAATGATCCTAAAGTTCATCATTCAGCTGAATTATTTATGGCGGCAGATTCCAAAATGATAACAATTGGCGGAGGGTAAGATTTTGTTAATGATATGAAATATGTAATATGTATAAATATATAAAATTTATGGTATACAAAAACTAGAATATATTTTTATGGAAAAAAATAAATCCATTAGATACATTATAATTCTTATTTTCTTAAAAAAAATAAATATTTTTGTAAAAATAAAAAGCAATTCTTCATTTCCAAAATTATACATTATATAATGATAAAATACAATATTTATAAATATTGTGTACAATTTATGTGAATTATGTTAAAAATTATTTTATTTATTTAGAGATGGTCAAGCAATATGGATGGATGAAAATATAAGATTCGGAAAAACAGATCGGTGCTCTACATTCAATAATCCACCTCTCTGTGCCAGCGGCGATTTTGAGATTAGGGTACTAGAAGTATATGGATTTGCTGGTGCTTGAACAGAAGACAGAACTTGGCACTACAACGTATCAGCATACTTGATTCCCTACTGCCATTTAACGACTCTCTTCTATATATATATATAGAATTGAAGAATATTGTACAAGTTTCATATTTGCGCAAAATTACCGTGTTTTTCCAGTCGCGGTATTTATGATGCATCTTCAGTCGTTTGCGGAGTATTAGTATTAATATATATGCATGTTTCGTTGTTGAGGCGCTATAAGAGGTTCTGTACCGATTGAGATTATATAGATTTATCTCCTTCGTTTTATTACGCTTGTTCGATTATTTGTCTCGACATTTGCAGACAATTCCTACGTTCATTGTGTCGCGAGTTTATTCTCAGATAGAGAATAATATAACACAAAATGGTTGCTAATGCATAAATTATAGCCTGCGACGTAATGAACATCGACAATAATCAACGTTGAGTCATCTTTTGTTATGTTAGAAATCTAATATCTAATATGTACATATGTAAGAAATGATTGGTTATTTACATGAATACTTAATATTCATTGGACCAGATGCTATTATTATATATATTTATATATTTGTGTATATACGTACATATACCTATATATACATAAACTGCAAATTAATTTCATCGAATCTATTGTTAATCTTCTAATTTGACAGTAATGCTCGTACACGTATGTGTTATGCCTTGCAATGTTTATTTACTTTTAGTATTGTTATGGCTTGCTTAATCAGTTGTTGAATGTATGTAAGTGCAAACAAATGGAAGGAAAGAGTATTGTTTATACGTTATATATTGTGTCTGTCATGCGTTACTGTATACATGTATATACACTGTATACATATGTATATGTTAGTCTCTTAATTTTTGTAAATATTATAAATAATGCCCCTTGCGCAAATACATGGAACAAAATTCATATACACATATACGTAAATTTAGTCGATTCATTTTACATTAATATAAACACGTATATAATAAGAATTTTACGTGAAATTACGCATTTATATTAATGTGAAATAAATTAACTAATTTATATGTACATTGATATTGATTATAGAAAGAAAAGAAACGAAGAAATATTGATGGCAGGGGGCGAATGGTACTTTGAACAACGATAATTTTTAATTTCTAGAAATGAATATATTAAAAAAAAAAAAAAAGAAAATGTTGCTTATGTTATATGTTGATTGACTTGTTTTCTAAATTGATATACGAAAAGCCATAGTTTTCACGTAGTATATTAAGGATTAGTATATTTTATATAGATTACGTAAATTTATGTCGATAATAGGATAACAACTAGTACCAGTTATAAAAATCCGTATATATATATATAGAGAAACAATATGATATTTTTTTTTTTTTTTCGATATACTTCGGGCATTCTAATGACGCGTACTAGCGTTACTATCGTTATCCTTTGTGATCAAATCTGTATCGATATCATATGATACATGATTAACTCTTAGAGTACCTGCTTCTGTGTTTAATTTCTTGTTACTTTTTTTTCTTTTTTTCTTTTTTCTTTTTTTTTTTTTTTTTTTTTTTTTTTTTTTTTTTTTTTTTTTTTTTTTGAATGAAAGGAAAAGTCGAAGAATGAAATTGAATGCATGGAAAAACTAAAGGTGTCGATTTTAGATTCCTTGGTTGTGATGTAGAAGTGGCTGGCACCACTTTTGTCCAAGTGACAATATTTACTAATTATATAACAAAGGAGGATCATGTATCTTTCACCCCCCGTCATGTCATCGACTGTAAAATAACATAACATGGAAAATGTGCTATTATAGCTGCGCGTTAAAGTCATTGAATTATTAAGAAGCGCTCTAAAGAACAGAATTAATTTAAATTGAAATGCTCTGTACATCGGCTGAGTCACCTCCTTTGATTTTTATAACGTAGTCAATCATATTAGTTAGTTTTTTCATATCAACTTTTATAAAATCAAAGAAATAAAAAATGAAAAAGCAACACAACAAAGAACGATCAATACATTATACACCACTTTATTGAACTTAATTTCAAATATAACCAGTGTTATAATGAATTTAGCTATTCAATTGTTTTCATATAATATCAACGACATAGCTCATAAAAAGAAAATAATAGCAAATTATGTTCATTTTTTAAACATTTTATAAATCTATGATAGTATTCTCGTATGTTACGTGAAGTAAAAAAAAGTATATTGCTGATCTCAATAAAAAAACTGTATTACGATAAGATAGCGCAAAAATATGTGAAACACATTAAGACAGAAATCAAGTCATTGAAACAATTGAGTAACTCAACTTAAATATAAAAAATATCATTTTGAAAGATATATTTAGAATAATTGATTGTATGTAATTTTAAAGACATATAGGTAACTACATTTCAGATATGTGAAATGTGAAAGGCGTCACAACTGAAACAAAAAATTTAAGCAATCGACAGAATTTAATCTTAAACACGATACGAGTAAATGTGCATTTTGTACATGAGAATAGTTAAAGAAAAGGAAATCTGTATGTATAGATATGTTTCATATAATTAAATTATTACATTATTAATTTATATTTATATAAATCATATATAATCCATATATTAATTGTTCAAATCAAAGTTTGTGTTTCTACATTAATCCTTTTCTTAACTGTTCCAAAATTCTTACCAGAATTTATGGTTGCAATTGTTGCTAGTATAATTATTTTTTGTGAAATTATAGTTGCGTGATAATTGAATGAATGAATATTTATTTATTGTGTATTCGTGATCGAGAGAAAGATGATAATGTATTGACAATGAAAAGTATTATTATTCAAAGTTTCTAACGTAGCACAGCATAACATAAATTTACATTAGAAAGTAATATATATATATACATATTTTACGTATATACGTACATACATACATATATATATAAATATAAATATACCTATAAATGATGAGAAAAGGAAAATAAATGTAATTGAATGGAGTGTTTTCAAGCTTTCCGCAGTGTTGTTATACTATACATATATATATATATATATATATATAATGTAAGTTGTACTATTTCCGAAGAAAATTGTTGCCTCTCGATGCTACTTTATCATATCACCGTTGTGAATAGAATATTGTTATACGAATTTATCATCCCAATTATTCCTTCTATTTTAAGAAGGATATTTCATGTGACATTCTTTATTATACAAATATACTGCATGTGATCCCAAAAAACCAACATATAAAACTAAATTATAATGTAAAATCTATTTAAAGAGAAGATATCCCAAAATCCTTTAAAATGCTATAGATAAGAAATAAATGAAAATAATTATTATTTAAATTCATATAAAAACAATCAATAATTTTGGATTATACATTTTAACAATATTAATGATAATTTAACAAAATTTTCAAAATTTAGACAATCAAATATAACTTTTGTAATAATCAATTACATTTTGCAAAATTTATAGTAATTTAAGTAATATTTAAAAAAAATATATAAAATGTTATCATCAGAATTCCTTACATTTTTAGTGATCATTTTCAACAGATATAAAATTGAATTATTAGAAATAATCAATACTATTATAATTATTTAAAATTAATGTATATGATGAAAATTTAATGATCGTTATCATTATATCAATATCAATATCATTATATAAATTTTTAATTTTAATCATAAAAAAATATTTTTAAAAAATTTCATCTTTAAATATTTATATTTATTTAAAGATTATATTAATTGATCATTAAATTATAATTGTATTAAGATTTTTTACATTTCATATTTAATACTACGTGTTCATATATTTTTCATGTATTATTATGGTCATAAAACTTTTTGATTTTAATTATAAATATAATATTTAAATTCTTTTTAATATGATTGATAATGTTATTTTTATATGTATGATTAGACTATCAAATTTATACAATTATTTTCATATGAAATCTATTATATTTTTATTCATATATTTCATATATATTCAATAACATTCTAATGAATTTATATAATAAATCAATGAATCAACTTTATTATATTAAGTTACTTTAAAAAAAATAAATTGAAAAAATATTATGAAATATTTCAGAATAATTCTATTTATACATATACATACTTATGAATAAAAAATTAATTTCAATTTTTTAAATTTTTTAAAATATGTTTCTTTATGAAATATTTTTTATATAGTGACTCAACCGTTGTACAACGATGCAAGTAGGGATAACATTCGCACGGCGTTCATATAACACTTTCAAGTTGTATCATATGTAATTGAAAGTCACCAGTATTGTTTGCGCTGTGTTCCCTACAATTTCGATGTGTCGCATTGTGTTCTCGCATCTTTCGATAACTATAATCTTTATTTTTCTTTTCTTTTTTTTAACTATAAAAATAATCTAATTAATATAAAATCACTGTGTTCTAACAGAAATGAATCGTTCGTTGTAGAAACTTTTAATGTAGTGTATAACAAAGTGATTGAACGTACAAATTTCCACAAAGTATGTGGAACCAATTTCACACATGAAATACAATTGTGCGATCATCAAAGAAAAAAACGATAACTCTCCGTACTTCGTTAATATTCAAGGTAATAATATAGCTTCTTGTTGAAACACATGCAAATAATTAATTGTCAATAAAAATAGATAAATAAAATTTTGTTAGTTGTAATGATAATTTAATAATATTTTTCCTATTAAGAAATAATTTTTCCTTATCGAAAATGATATTTTGTATCTTAACTGTGATTGTTTATTCAAATATTCATATCATATCAAATGTTATAAATACTCTGTTTTATTTTTTTTATATTAAAAAAATTTTTAAATCATCATTTGTTAATCATTGCAAGTGATAATAAAGAGAGTAATTTTTGTATGACAAAATTTGTTTCATTTTTTGGGAAAATTTCTAAAAGGTGGGGGGTATGGCCGTTACCTGAAGAATATGTAGCCCGCATCTTTTATGTTGTCTCGACCTATTTTCGTACTGTTAGTTATACGTCGCCCTTTCAATTTTATATTTCTTTTTTTTTTTCTTCTTCCTTACGTCATCTTTGAAATTTATCGGCAAGTCTAATCGACAAAGCAATAAAATATGTAAATTTATGTAAAGAAACGATATAGCAGCTATTAACAAGATATCAATAATTTAAAAAAAGAAAATATCTAATAAAATGTCTTTTATTAATATTACAATTTAAAATTGATATTTCTTTAGATTTTGTAGTTAATTCTATTTTATTATTTCGATATAAAATTAATTATATATAATTAATACAATAATAATCATAAATTATGTTATTTTATATATATGTTACATTGGCTCTTTTACATATATAATATACATGATTTTAAATACATGTACATCTAATGCTTAAGTACATTTTAATTTTATATTTATTTTTTTTTGTTTTGTTTAATAAATTATTCTTGTTTTGTCATAAAAACATGTTAAAATATGCAGATAATTATTAATTTGAATCACTTACTTGATAAACTACTAAGAAACAATTTGTGCGCATGTGCATAAGACATTGCATAATTGATAATAAGATAAAAAGAATAAAAAGAAAGCGGGAAAATTTTCAATTTTTTAAATCTTATAAAAATTGTATTTCTTTATTAAAATCTTTAATTTTATTATTAATATCATTAGAAAATTTATTCGAAAATTAATTAATTTATTTATTAAATCTTTCTTTTTCCTTAATACCTGACATTTGTATTTTGTGAGTTATATCAGTGTACGTGCCTCAAATACGAACTATGTTCGCAAAAGGCCACGATTGATGATTCGAAGAATTCGATACGTTCGATACTGGCACTCGAAGTAAGCACTTTCTCGGAATAAAGAATCACTTACTTGATCGATTCGCTTTCTCAAAACGTGATTTATATTCTTTCTCGATATTCTTACGTTTATGTTGACTTTAACTGCACGAGAAAATTTATTGGCTCTTAGCGGTTTAATTGTTACACGCTCTCGTTGATTTATCGATTAAAGACAATTTATTTTCAATTAAATTCCGATACTTATTGTGCACAAAGTTTATTTATTAAAATAGATTTTCGAATAAAATGTTTAAAATAATTAAAACAATACAAGTAGAACTATAATTAAATTATAAGATATTAGATATTAAAATTATATGATTTATATTTCTTTCAATGTATTAACAAAGTTAATTGCTGATTCAATAGAGAATATGCAATTGTTCTGTAATAATTTTAATAATAATGTATTTGTGAAATAGCTCAAATTTTAATAATAATAAATTTAAAAAAAATTTTATACTAGTTAAATATTCTAAACTAAAAAAAAATTATATTTCATGGATATTTTAATATTCATTTCAATATTTTTGATCATGTTTTCACAATCTAAAAAAATCTAATTTCAAAATTTAAATATTTTTTTTATAAAATATATAAAATTAATAATAAAAAATTATTTTATTATTATATTATTTATGAAAGTTTAAACTGCAATAACATACGTGATAGAAAATCACAAATATTTATTTTTAAAAATAACAAAAAAAATTTGAACAAAATCTAATTTTAAGTAATACAACAACATATTTCTCTTGAATGTTTCATAATTTTGATCACGTTCATGCCATCTGCACGTTTCTATGCAAAACTTTTTAAACAAGACACGCGATAAATGTTTTTTTACAGTATATAATTATCTAACACTTGCCTATACAATTTTGTTGATTATAAGCTCGATTTTTCATCGTAGTAAAATATGATGTTTTTAATTAAAACTAAGAAAGTTCTTTTATATTTAGTCTTTTGTTTAATTACATTGTATTAAAAATTTATTAATTATAATTATAATTAATTTTGTTTTTTGATTATATATATTAATAGCAAATTATAATAAATTTTTTAAGATTGTAGATATAGATTATATATTAGATGATATATATTTATATATATGTAGATATATTATAGATTATAATCAATATTGTCAATGATATTATAAATATATAGGAAATGAACTAATAAATATCATTTACATACAAATATTTAAAATATATTATTAATTAATATATTATTAATAAATATATTATTAATAAATATTATCAACGGTCACGTTTCAATACATCTTAAAGTTTCAACACATTTATTATATTATACATATTATACATGTGAATAAATTATAAAATAATGGTTGAAATTAAAATTTCAATATTTTAAGTAAAAACAAAATTCTAATCATATTGTTACGAACATATCTATACAATAAATAATTAATGCAACTGTAGAAACGATGTCAAAGTATTCCATTTTTGTTCAAGTATCTTTTTAAAACTTAATTAATTGCTATCTTTTCCTAAACAATTTAGTTCATTGTTCTAATTATCATTTAATTTAATTTAGTTTGTTCTTAAAGTAACTATAAAACTATAAAACTATAAAAGTAATTATAATTATAATATTCTAGAATAAGTAATCTAGAATAATAATCTAGAAAAAGTAATTGTAATAAATAATTATGATTTTCTTTCTTAAATCAATTTACTGTATTTCGAGAATAATTTAAATCTCATTACAAATGCGATTTGCAATTTTTCAAATTAATTACTTCTCTATTTTGATCAAAGATTAAAAATCATTATCCTTTATATAACTTTATGCAGGATACATTAATAAGAAATTAATGCTATTCATCGTTTAAAAAAATGCAAAAATGACGACTTTATTATCAGGCATTATTATAGCACGGAAATAAGCCTTGGAAATTGATAAAACAAACGATTTAACGCGCCGTCGCGCATACTTCTCGAACGATAATCAACCGGCCAGTTATACCGTTGATAAGCGATAATTCAGTAACATATTACGCATATAATGTGTATATGGAACGAGTTAAATGACAGTGACTAATGAGGTGGTTGCATGTTAATCACAATGAAGATGGATTTTCATTTGGGGGTGCAGAAGGAGGCGGTATTGCCGATGGTAAATTCATTCAACTCTCCGCTTTATGTTTACAGATTTAATGCTTTCTATATCCTGTAGTTTGACACGCTTGATAGAGATCAAGAACTTCTATTAAGCGAAGGAAATATATTTCACTTCATTTTTTCAACGAAATATGCTTAAATTTAAAAAAAATTAAGTGGCAAAAATTTTTTCTACTTTTTTTTTTTTGATTTTCCAATTTTTCTACTTTTTCTTATAATCTGATATTTTATCAATTTTTTTATATTTCCTTTTCAAGTTTGTAATTTTTAAATTTTAAATTTTAAATTAAATTTTAAATTTAATTTTTTTCAACGAAATGAAACATATTAAAATAACTTTTGTTTCTTTAAATCTTAGTATCCATCTGATTAAATACATTTATAAAATAATATCGATTATAATAAGATTATCAGAAATTAATCGTATAAAAAAATTTTTTTTTAATAATTCTTATATATAATTATAAACACTTATAATTATCTCTTGATAATCGTTCAATACTTAATATACTTACATCTTATACTTAATAAAAATGTAATATAATATAATAAAGTATGTATAAGTTAAATATTTATTATATCATGCTTTTTATTTTATTTTTGTAACATTAAATAATTCTTAATTAATGTGTTTTTTTATCATTTTCTAAATTAATTTTAAACTTCAATTTGTATTTCTTTTCTTATGTTTACTAAAATATTTAATACTTTGATCTTTTAATACAAAGTATAAATCAATATTTTTATTTATTTATAGGATATTTATTCTTTTTAATTGTAGATATATTCTCCAATTAAAATTTATATTCTTCTTTATTATTTACAAATATTAGAATACAAATGATAGAATAGTAAAGTTATATAAACTCTCAAATGATAATCAACTAACTAGACATTATTGATAACTGATAACTAAAATTTTCTTGAAAGTCATCAGTTTTTAATTTTCAAATCTAGTAAACAGATTAATTTGTTTACAAAAATATATTGTTTTTAAATATAAAATCGATCGAGATAAATATTTCTAATGTTTTTATATTATTTTTTATGTCTATTCTATATGCTTTTATTAATTCCATTACTCAAGTCTACTTTTTATTAAAACAAATATAAAAAGTATTTAATTTCAAAGTATAAAGTATAAATTTTTTTTTTTACTTTTTTTTTTTAATTTTTTTTTAATAAACACATTATATTTTTTAAAGAAATATTTAACTCTTTTCTTAATTTCATGATTTGCTATATTGTATTTTTAAAATATAATATTTTAATTAACATCTTATTTTAGTCAAGGAATCACGCGGAGTAATTTAAAAATGACACATACCGGGCCTAATTCTGCTCGTTAAGAAGGTAAATGATCGAATGAAAATGAGTAATATACATACAATGAGATTGTATCTTACCGGGCCGGAATACAAAGTACCGCGAAGCATATCAAATAGCTGCACTAAATAAGGCTGTGAGATAACATCAACTATACTTGCAGAATAATAATTACGATGTCTGGTGTGAATATACAACTTTTTGTAGTAACAAGGAGAAAAGAATCTATCATTGTTCTTTTTTCGTAATATGCATGATAGTATGTATTTGTATATTTTAAGATTACAATAAAGGAATTGAAAATATTCATCAATAGCTCTTTTTGAAATCGCAAGAGTTTCTATAAAATTGAAATATTGTCAGAATAGATTTGCGATTAATTTTCTATTTAAAAAATTATGCTAAACATAATTACTTTTTTATTTCGATTCTTGTCTTATTTTAGTTCATAAATTTTTCAAAAATTTGCAATGCAACTATTAATGATATGAAATGAATTAATTTTATACGAAATTCTTTCTATTGAATTCATAAATCAATAATCAGAATTTCTAGTAAGTTAAATATTTATCTATTTTTTTCCATAAATAAAAAAAAAATTATTCCTCATTTTAAGAAACAAAGTGTTAAATTTTTTAACAATTATTAAAATTTTTCAAGCCGCCTGAAAAACCTGAATGGCTGGAATTCTCCACGGAAAATCCTTCAATGTCTGGATTCGTCGGATCTTTACGTGGCTTGGAGGACAATTCTGGGAATACAGGGCAACCTTATCGCAGAAACAGTCTCGCATTATCTCTTCATTCGAATTTGGCAGCTTTTCCAGTTGCTAATAATCAAGAAGTCTCACCTTTTCATGTAGTTGATTCGGCGCGGAGAAGATTTAGTAATGTTAGTGATGTCGTATCCAGAAAAATTTCTCATACAATTCGATGGAGAACGGTTTCAGGTTCAATCGAGCTTACAGTGTCTCAAGTAATAATATTATTATCTGAAATATAAATTTCTTAAATATTAATTAAATAATTTTATTAATAATTAAAACATTTTTTTTTGTTTAACATTGAAAATAAAATTAAAAATTGAAACTTGAAAGTAATGATTTATTTAATTAATGATACAGGGATCTTCCTTATGTGCTCAATATATCCGAAATCGTTTGAAACGGTCTGGAATCTTTCATCGAAAGCTTGGATTGAAAAGAATGAGAAGTGCCATGTTGCTTCCTGGTGGTGCGGTTGTGGGAGAAGTTTATCCAGAATTAGTATCAGTTGGAGCTGAACTCGAGAAAATGCATCCAAATTTATTCAATCGTGTTGCACGACAAATTGGATGTGGTAGTTTCTCATCGGAACAGTCTGCTAGCGAGGCCATCGTGGATGTCTCTAGAGAGATGATCAGAAATGGTGAGATGACTTGGAGTAAAGTGGTAGCTCTTTATGCAATTGCTGGTGGTATTGCCGTGGATTGTGTACGTCAGGGCAAACCTGAATATTTACCTGCCATACAGAGAGGTAATTATTTTATTTATTAAATTAAAATCATATTTCTATATTTTTTTTGATATTTTGGCCTTAAAAGTATTTCAATTTAACTAAAAATACTAAAAATATTGTATAAATAAATATTTATGAAATATTAAACATTTTGCGATTTAAAAATTTTTTTGATTCAAGGAATGACAGATGTTTTAGAAGAGGATCTTGCTGCATGGATCCAAGCTAATGGAGGATGGGTAAGACAAAGTAAATTATATAATAGAATAAAAATATAATAATCAAATGTTAATTTGAAAAAAGATATATATTTTTTTTTCAGTCCGCTTTAGCAACACGATACAGATCTGTAACAAAAGAAACTACATGGCATTCGCGAAAACTTATCTTATTATTTATATTCACTACTTTGATTATTTTTATGATTTCTATGTTTTTAAAACTTTTAATTTTATAACACATATTAAATATAAGTAAGTATAAAAACTAATTTAATAGAATATTTAAATATAAATAACATTAATTGTAAAATATTTATATATTACCTTCATAAACAATTCATTAAACATTTCATCTTGACATTTTATAAAATGTTTCTATTATAGTAATTAAAAATTTTATTTAATCAAGATATTTTAAAACACAGGTTCATTGTAATTTATTTTTACATATTTTAATAAGTAATTTGTATAAATGAAAATACCGTTACGCTTTCATATATGTATTTCTTGATCAAACATTTCGTTTTTTTGTGTTTCTATTTCTAATAATTCTTCATCTCGTTTAAATGAAATATCCTCGATAATCTCCTGGTGAAAATAGTTTTGGTCTCACTAGTTAGTAAAAAAAAACAAAATTATGTGCAAAACATTTGAAACAAAGTGATAAAATAACAGTATTCAATTTACTTGTGTCTTTGCAACATTTGCCATATATGCAAGAAAACTTTGATTCGTTTCTTTTTTATTAATTATTTGAAGATATTTTTTTCTTGTGTTTAATACTTCATCCAATTGCTTTTTATGTCTAATTGCCAATTCTAATGCTCTAAATTAATAATTGATAAATTAAAAAAAAAACATTATTTATTAAAAATTTTGTTTATATTAAAGAAAGTACCTATTCCAATTGTATATTTCGATATTAATTCGTATAGCTTCCTCTATTAATCCATTTTGCAAAAGTATACCTTCTGCAGTTAACAAATCTCCTGATAAAAGTGCCATTTCTGCTAGTCTTTCTGTTTTATTTGGTAAACTCTAATTTCGAAAAACTTAAATTATTAATTTATTTAGACAAATAGAAATTAGAAGAATAAAATTATTACCTTTATATATTGAATATAATCAACTTTATCATATCGAGAAATTGCTGCATATGCTTCTTCTGCAGCGTTTAATTCTTTATTATCAGTTGCTATAACGGCCATGCAAGTCCATAATATTTCATTCTATTAATAATTTTTATATTTTAAAAAAATTTTAATCTACTATAAAAAAAGGAAGAAGAGATATTAATTACCTGAGCGATTCGACAAAGCGATAACGCTTCTTTCCATTTCTTGTTTAAAATATGTTGATAAAGACTAATAAAAAATGTATAAAAGGAAGAAGCTACTAATGCTCCATCACCACGTCGTATCATTACTATCCCATTATAAACATTTGCTATACTTGGTTGTTTACCAAATTCACTAAAAATATAAATAAAAAAATTAATAATAAATAAATAAATAAACTATTTATATATCATTATTAAAAAAAGAATAATAAAATATATTTTATATAATAGAGATAAAAGAATAAAACCTGCTTTCTTTATCGATTCTTGTCTTTCGTATAATTTTACGATCGCTATAATGTACACAATTAGGACACAACCATACAGATAATGTTGCATCTAACATCGCTGCTAAAACATTTGCATCAGTAGCCCATGCAATATCTTGCGCCATAGCAGCTAAAAAGATGAAAAATTATAGAATGTTGCTGAAATTATATATTAAATACAAATACTTTTTTAAAATTGCATACCTATTTTACATACTCTACCAAAACCAGTGGTTCTTATAGAAACAAGAAATAAATCTTTATTTATATCGATTAGTGCTACTTGTCGATCTATTACACCGCCAATGTGATTTAATGCAACTCTTGTAATATTTTGAAGATGTGTATAAGTCTGGCTTTCTGTTATAGGTTTATTATAAGCCATTTCCAATACATGAAGTACTAAAAAATAACTTTTAACATCAATTTTTTTATGTTACAATGTTTTTATATTCATTGAAGTATTTATTTAATCGTACGTTTTTCGTTACTTTGCGATCGTATAACTAAAGTATCGGAACATACTGATATACAAGGGGAATAAAGTCGTTCCTGTGTCATTCCTTTCCATTTTGGAGTTCCTAATAAACGACCTTGATAACTATATAATGATACAGAATTCCATTCAATCAATAAAAAATGCCTATACAAAATAATACATTTTAAATGCTATTTCTTCTAAAATTTGTGTTCTGTGTAAAATAAAATATTTACTTTTCCGCAAGAAGTATTGCTGATACACTAGTATTTTTCAAATCAAATATGGCAGGAGTATTCCAGTTTATTACCGAATAAACATGACATTGTGCTGGTGTAATTACAACTAAATAATCAAAACCAAATTCCAGCTGAACTACACGATCTGATATCTCTAATTCTTCTCGTGTTTCATTACCCACATCTCTGATTTCAATCACTTTTCTTTTAATCAATGTGGCTTCATAATTATTCCACTCCAATCTCCTATTTTTCATTGATATTAAGTGTATAAATTCTATATTTAATATCATTGATATTAAGTATAAATATAATTATTTAAAACAATAATTTAATTTTATATATTTTATACCTGTCTATTATATGTCCTGTTAATACATTTCCATTACTGCAAGCCATAGCTACTTGAGTACTATCACTTGACCAAGCAATACTATATATGCTTCCAGAATTAATTTTTTCTAATGAATGAGACCACTAAAAATATATATGTAATATCAATAATATCAATAAAAAAGAACTCATACAACATAATTAAATATTAAAATTTATATGTAATTTGAACTAACTCCTGTTTTATCACAAAGTTTGATTGTATTAAATAATCCAACTGCAAAGTAATCTCCAGAATAACTCCAACTTAATGCTGTAATAGGATGATCCTCTACATTACTAGAAAATAATTGAGTACCATTAGAATCCCATACCTTGAAAAAAAATTTAACTTCTCATTGATTCTGTTATTTGTTATAATTAAATTTTATATTATAAGTTTATGTTTTACCTTATATTTACAATCTTCCCCACCAGAAATGATTAATCCATGAGTGTGATTCCAACATAAAACCAAAATTAGACCATCATGTGCTAATAACTAATAAAATACAATTTTTTTTTAAACATTATTCTATAATTGTAAAATGTTATGTACTTGTAAGATTGTCTAACCTTTCGAGGTTTGGAATTAGAATTAAGTGATTGAAAAGTTAAGTGAGCTCCTTGAGAATATAATACTGTTGTACAATCTAAATTCCAAGCAGCAGATAATATGGAAAACATTCCTTTAACTATAATAGAACGAAGCATGCCACTACGTGACCATACTTTTATCAAACCATCCTCTCCAGCTAAAATTATAATAACAAATTAACTGAATTATAATCATTTGAATCATATATCTTTATAAAGTGTTTTAACTACCAGTCAAAAGAGCAGAGCCATCATTACTCCATCTACCTACTGTTGTTGCTCCTTTATGAGCATCTACACTTTTTTCTATACGTCCATTTTTATTAATTAAATGAAATTTTCCTATAAAAAAAATATTAAGATAAAAACTAATAATAAAAATATATATATAATAATATAATTATAAGTTTCTGAGAACTCTTAATACTGAAAAAACAAAACTACAAATACCATCAGCTGTAGTAATTAAGAGAATATCCAATGATTGTTTTTTTGTAATTAACACTGCATAATTTGGTCGCGGATGCCATTGCATATCGGTCGGATAAAAATCATCAGGAAATTCTGTAATAATATTGGAATGTGCAATTCCACCTTCCAAATGCCATGATATTAATAAATGATCTTCTCTGTAAATAAAGAGAAAAATATGATAATTTTATATAATTATTCAGATTTTTATTTTATAAATATTAAATTATACCCGCAAGAATAAATTTCTTCTGTTGAATTCCATGCAACACAAGTTACTAAACGCTTGTGACCATTACGATTTTGTGCAGAAATTTTAAATCTCATTATATGTTTATTTATTATTTTAATTTATGTATAAATATATATGTAAAAACGTTCACAATTTTATATAAAATCTATATAAATCTATATATTTAACATTAAAAAATGTGTAAATATATTTCATATATTTCACATTTCATTTCATACAAATTCGATCGCGTGCTTAATCAAACCTTGAAGTCCGGATATTTGTTGGTATATACTTGGTTACTATAGTAACATAATATTACCATATATAACATATATTACATATTATATTCATAATATTATATTTAATGAAATAAAATCTTTCACTTATTTAACGACAATGAAAACTCATCAAGTGAAACCCAATTTTACACATGTTTATTAAAGCTTTCTCAATACAATTTATTAATTTTCATTAGCACAACCTCATATTCTTCTCCATATTACAAATAAATTCATGAAGCTGACGAATCCTTCTAAGGATGCCGACACTCGGACTTCACAACCTTTTCATTTTCACTTTTATAAATGATGGTAGCTCATAATGTTACAAATGTTTTGTTAACGCGATGATGCAATGCCGGCATTGGAAGATATCGCTTACATTGAATGCAATGTAATAATTATATATAAAATAGAACATTTTGAAGATAACGCTCAGATCTGTACAACCGAGAAATTATACATTCATTATGTATACATAGTATATATTATATACATTTATTATATATATAATATATATATCTCTATTTACGTAAATCTATATAAATATATATATATAAATGTTAGTTTGTATTATTCTTATATGTTTACAGACTCGCGATAATAATTAGGATAGTTGGTCGCATGAAAGTAAACGAATAGAATCGTATACTGTAATAAAAATGAAACGAAAAAAAATATGCTAGTAAGATAGAGAGAAAGAAAATATTGCAAATGGTAACAAAAATATTATTTGACAAGATATATGACGAGACTTATGAAAAAACAAAAAAATTAAATTCGGAGATTCAATAGATAAAAAGTACAACATTATCATATGCATACTTAATATTTGCTCAGTGTATGATTGTTCCTACAATCAAGGAACCGTGCATTCTTATAACATAGATGACATAATTAGAATGCTCCCAAAAATAACTTGAAAATTTCACACTGTACTTTCAGAAAATGTCATTAATCCTATCATTTATCAAAAATAAATATCTTAAAAATTTACTCAAATATTATTATACATATTAATTACAATATCTTAACTATACAAAAAATAAATTGCGTTAAAAAAGTTTGAGATTAAACAATATACAATATATGTTTTTTAGTTCTGAAAAATTTTTTCTATAAATACAGTAAGAAATATTCAAGTTGTGTAACAACTATCCTGAGAAACAATCTGTACAGAATATATTAAATTCGTTTGGTACCGTATAACAGCTTAGCAAAAAACGCTTCACGATATTTACATCTATGTCACTATGTGTCTATGTCACGTTGCTCACTTTCTCAATTAATTTGCTTATTAAAATTATCTTAAAAGTACGCGTTATTAATATCATTACATCAATATCCTATTTTTATTACTATATTTTGATTAATACGTAATCTTGGCTTATTATCTTTGATAAAGGACACATTTGTTTTTAGTTTCACCATATTTAAATCGATAATGACGATATATATGTGTATGTATGTATATATATATATATATATATATATATATCGTATTATTGATATTTTATAATTAATATTTTTAATGTGCATACTTCAATTTACAACATTTTTTTAATTAAAATCTTTGTTTGTCATAAATATATCATATGTACTTTGACATTTATATTATTCCTCATTTTTTGGCATAGGAACCTTTTCGCACGCATTATCGAGCTTCCAATCAACTTCTAATACTGATCGTTTTTTAATTATGCGGATATAATTTATTTTCGGTCGCCATTTTAACAATACTTTTTAACATAGCATACAAACATACATAATCATATATTTATGTATATCCATCCTATTTAAAAATCACCCTGTTTGTCAACTGCTAAAAAGTAATGATATCAGTTGACAGATTATTATTGCGTTTTTGTTATATTATAATTATCTACAAAGGACCATTATAACATTTGTTGAAATATTATATCACTTCAAGCTTTATAATGTATTTAAATAGATAATATTTTTAAATAATCTATTTATAATAATAAGAAAATTAGTTATTTTCGTTATTTATTAAAATTTGAATATTATTGAATTTATTTTTAGCAAAATTTTCAGCAATTTCGCTTAATTAATTGAAATATAAATTTTTGATAATTTAAATAATAATTTAAAGTATTATAGTTGCCTTTGTAGTCTTTTCTTTGCATAAATTTGATAGATGGTTATAGAAAATTTCTTAAAATATCAACAAAATTCATTGATTTTCCTCTGAAGATAACTATAAATGTTTCAAGACATAAAATCATGTCTTGTTACATAAAATGCTTCTACAAAATCGTGTAAATTACAGATTTTTATATACAAACATACAGTCTCGTCATGGAATGGTATGACAATATATATGTATTTGTGTATATGTATATATATTATCATTTAATTTAAATATCCTTACAAGTGTTTCTCTCTATAACTATAATACAACCCTTCGACTAAAATTTTATATTACTGGCAGACATTGAATAATGCCAATAAACAAACAATATTATTAAAAATTCAATGATTGAAAATCGATTCAACTTATGTAAATTCGAGAAATATAAATGCTATCTGCTATAAAAAGTTTTCCAATTTGAAAAATGATTTTAGGTATTATGATACCACAAGATTGACGATTAAAAAGATGAGATCAACGAAAAATGATTAATAATTGTAAAAAATAAACATGCTACATGTTTCTTTGCTATAAATTTTGAGAGCATAAACAGACTTAAAAATAGCTGAAACAAATATCTATAGAAAGAAGATCAGTTCAATGCATGACTGTTTCTACGTCTTAGGAACACTCTACTGTTAACTGGATAAACTCTAGTTAACAGTATTAATGAGCTACCAAGAGCTAATTTAACTGGAGCTTGTCGACCTCCAGGCAATCTAATGAAAACAGTGGCTACAGCCGCAACTCCATCATCAGTAGGTTCAACTGCTACAGGTCTAACATCATTATGAAAACTGACTAATTTATTACGTCTGCTTTTTCGCTGAGGCGAGCTTGGATTACAGTCATTACCATCTCGATCGTAAATGATAGTAGCTGATGCGAAAGGTCTTTTAGCCATATGCAACATTTCGACAACATGTCTTCTCCGTGCTCTTCGAACATCCGCTGCTTGTTTCGTTTTCCATGCAACTACACAACCGGCTAAAAATAAAAAGAAACAAGAGAAGAATACGGAGAAAAAGACAAACAAATCAATATGAAGTTGATCCTGTCGAAAGAAAATCATTCCGTAAGCAGCTCGACCACTAATTTCTGGATGCACAGGATCAATCGCTCTTAACGCGATGTGAAATTTTGTTTCATGAAGTTCATGTTTGTCTTGTGGTAATGTCAACACTAACCGATTCGTAAGATTTCTAACTACCAAGAATGTATTTCTATTCTCGATTGTTAAAAATGTAGCTAAACCTTCTGCATATCTTTCCATTACAATATACTGAGGACCAGTATTCCAAGTCGGTTCGGTTGTAGTGCCATTTAAAGCAAATGAAAAACTATTATGAGGTTGGAATTCGACTAATCTCATTTGACTACGAGTCTGTTCATCTAACCACATATTATGTGAATTTTTTCGCCACATAAATCTACTGTCCAGTTCAACCTGAAGATATAATTTAATTCAGAAAATATTTAATATTCAATGCTTTATAAATAAAAAAAAAGCATATAAAACTCTTACATCTTGATATCCTGTTGTTGAATTTAATGTAACAACAAAAGAATCATCTCGAGGGCTAAGAAATAGATCTAAAGCCCCTTGTGTAACATCCACCATAACTCTAATATCAACATTCATAAAACGAGGTTGTACCATGTAAAATACCGTTTGACCGGGATTCAATGGTTTTGGTTTCATTTTACACTCATCTGTAATTAGTGAAAATAATAAGTTTTCATATAAATGAACAAAAATTAATGAAAAAAGAAAAAAAATATATAATTTAACAATGGAGGAGTTACGAACCATAAGATCCTCCTGACATAATAGAAAGATGCAATTTAAGGAAAGTAATATTTGATCAAAATATATGTATAATTCTAAACTATAATATAATTTTTTGAAGAAAATTAATATAAAATAATATAATATAATAATAAATATATTTATATACGATATAATAAATGATATAAATATGTTAAATAATTCACCTATTAATTTAGAATCAAAGCACATTTTGTTGTCAACAGTTACAGTTTTATAACATTGATGACCCATTGTTGGTGTCCCAGCATAATTTTCTTTACATTTACTACATTGTACCATCCAACATGGTGAACTACCAGTATTTGTACTTTTTATAGGTCCACTAGTACAAGTTGGATCACTTTCTGTATTATTACCACAATTACATTTTTCTCCTGTTACTGGATCACAAGTGAATCCATGTCCATGGCATTGACAACTAGAAATAATAAACTTTTAATAATATAGAAGACATTTAATAACATATATAGTACACATATATAATATAAATATACATAAATAAAAATATTGATATAATAATACTAACGATCGACATATATCACGAAGATCTTCTGTTCCTCTGAAATAACCAGTCATACATTCACCACATTTGTCACCTCTTGTATTATTTCCACAATTTACACATTTGGCTTTAGCTACAGGGCCTTCGACTAATTGTTTTTCTAGTAATTCTATAGACATTTTTTCAATTGAATTTGGATCCTAAAAAAATTATATTATTTTTTATTTATTTTATTTAAAAAAAATAAGATTTTTTTATCTTCAATTATACTTTTAATATATAAATTACCGGTACAGTCATGCTTTCATTAATACATATTCGAGTATGTCCATTGCAATATTCAAGACATGGTACACATTGACCATTATCTGCTGGATTTCCAACAAATAAAGGTCTACATTTGTCACATTGTGGTCCCATTGTATTATTATGACATTCTAAACAAACGTCTAATTTATCTGGGCCTGCACAATTACTATGACCATTACATTGGCACTGAATGGAACAATTGGCACCTACATAACCGAAGTCACAACGACAAATATTTGGTTCTATGCATGTTCCTCTAACACAACCTTGTGTACACATTGGAACGCAAATTTTTCTAAGAACAAAATAAATTATATGTACTTAATATTAAAAATATTTAATAAATAATATATATAAATAAATAGCTCAAAATTTGAATCTCACCTTCCAAATTCATTAAATGATGATGGACTGAAATAAATATAAAATAATTAATGAATTGTTTCTTTATTAATAAAATAATATATATATAATATATAAGTAATAAAAAGAAAAATATTTTGATAAAAATTACGTTTCAGTTTTATATCCGTCGCCACACATGCATTCAAATCCTTCTTCTAAATCAAAACATTTTTCACTTTTTGTGGAACATGTATGGTGGCCATTCGTACATTCATTTTCTGGTGGGCATCGCACATAATGCCAAGAAAATATTGGTTTCGACATCACATTTGGAATTGACATTGTAACATTATCTGAGATTTCTAGAAACTCTAAATACAAATAGAAATAATATAGTTACAAATATTATAATCTTTATATATTAGTATTAATAAAATTAAAAAAATAAAATTAAAAAAACTGACATCAATAATATTCGAATCATTATATCATTATATATTACATATTAGATTTCCTTACTTAGTTCAACTGTGGGTAATTGTTGATAATATAACATTTCACATGTTCCACCAGCTGGATGATCTGCTGGTGCTTCTAATGAACCTTCTGTACATATTCCTTGACCAGTTATATTAGCTGAATCAAAAGAACACCAACCACAATGTGAATGTTTTAAACATGTACTGCATTGTTTAAAAACTGAACATGGTTCAGGACAATGATCCATATCAGAACTACGTAATACCAAACCACATACACCGCCAGCACAGTACAGAGGTTGATATGATGGAGAAATACACTAAAATTTATTAATAAATTGAAAAAAATTTTAATTTCTCTCTCCTCTCTCTCTCTCTCTCTCTCGCATGAACGCACGCACGCACATATATATACTTATTTTTTTAAAATTATGTATTTACTTCATTAAGTTGCGTTGACCATCTACATTCTCGCCAACCACCTTCGGCTCCTGTACCTTTTAGACAGTTTTTACAGTCCTTATGATCACCACATCGTTTTTCACATTGCGTACTTCCCATTTTAATACTTGATCTTTCAAAAATATGTTCTGGTACACAATTCCAATCATAGACAGGTTCTCCTGTTACTGCAAGTCCCAATTCAGCTACAAATATTTTAAAAAATTATTAAAAATTGTCTAAAAATTATTATATATATTTACATATTCTTTGAATAATTTTTTAACTCACAAGTTTTCAAAACCTGCCTTGTCCACACACAACCTTCAAGATTATTACATTTCTCGCAATCACTTGCTGGACATTGACGTTCTCCACATTGATTTACATCTGTTACCGATATTTGTCTAATACTGCATTTATTTAATTCGTCGCAATCTTTCTCAGATGGTATACACTTTCCATTTGGACAGTTTGTACACCATTTACACACTGGTTCTTCACTTTTATAATATGGCCATTCTGCTAAACATTCTGTACAAGTTTTAAAATTTTGGCATTTCCTACTCATCATCCATTCTAAATTACAAAAGATTCCATTTGATCGTTGAGCTTGAGTAACATTAATATCACATCTAAAATATTTTTTTAAATATATTTAGAAATATTTATAAATATGTTTAAAAAAATATTTATTAAATATTAGAATTTACCTATCATCCTTATTAATTGATATTTCATTAGAAAAACAAAATGAAGCATTATTTCCACTAATTGTAATAACAGAACAAAAAGAACATCCAAAATATTTTCTGCAAGTTATTTTATCTGTCCAAAGATTACACAAATCTTCCGGTATATTTATAAGAGTGACGTGACTTTTAATTCCACCATCAAAACCACCAACTA